ACACACTTTCCTTATTTTTTCCACAACAAATGGCCAAGCAAGCGCAGCCACTGACAAGATACGCGATACAGAACGAGACCAAACGCGAAATTTAGTATTTCATACTAAATGATTGCAGATTTTGCCTTATGACTAAATATATTTTTTATGGTTCCCAAAATATGTCTCAGGTGAAAAAATGGGGCCAAAACCCTTTAGGGTATGCTTTTTTGGCCTTTTGGAAACATAGCAACTGATCGGTGCACGTTAGGTTTTTCAATATATTCTGATATTTGCCCCAACGACATGCAGCATTAAATTTGGATGCATTTTTAAGTTAATCCTGTGATGATTCATCCTCAAGACATTCAGTCTGAGAACAAACCCCTGGGATTGTTGGAATACATTGCAATTCTCCCAGGCCACAAACCACTCACATCATACAGGCTTTCCTCCTTGTCCTAAAAAAGACAAGCTTCACTCTTATTAACCGACTGCAGCTTGCTAAAGGATGATGTTGAGAATAATGGAATAGAGGTCTGTGTGTGCTGACCTTTCTGAGCTAAACTTGGCCAGCCGGTGTGAATGTGCTCCTAGGGTCTATTGTGTTCACAGCGGTTATCATTGTATTGCAGTTTCCTCTGTTCAAGAGAAAAAGAAAGGGAGAGAGAGAGAGCGCTAAAGCTGCTGTTGGATCTTAGACATGCTGAGGTTGTTCGAAATCTGGAAACATAATTGATATTAATGAGACTGTTTTAGATTCCTGAGGAAGACGGCAGGTTGATCGGGCAGGACAGGTACGCCCAGCTCCTGATTTGGGCCAGTATCTACTGTCCTATTTAAAACCACACCTATGTGTCAGTAAACTTAAAGAAAAACTAATTTTGATTAAAATGAAATTCATAGATTGAAGTTATAGTTATAGTTATAAAGAAATTAAATTAAATTGATTGTTTGTATCTGCTTTCTTGGTACTAAATGGCCATCCATCACCTTTCCTAGTGCAGGAGATTTAATGAAACCATGTCTTTCATGAGGTGTTTCTCCGAAAAAATTAAAATGAAGTGAATAGTTCAGATAATTTATGATGATATAAAGAGAACTCATAAAATTATGAATGCTTATGCAATTTAACAAATAAATTGTGACGTTGCTTTGGATTAAAGCATCTGCTAAATGAATAAATGTAAATGCATTATGTGTCATAAACTAACAGGGAAGCATTTATTAATGTAGTGTTAATTTCTAGCTACACTACCATTTAAAAGTTTAGGGGTCTGTTGAAAGAAAAAAATTAATACTTTTATTCAGCAAGGATGGATTAAATTGATCAAAAGTAACAGTAAAAACATTTATAATGTTACAAAAGACTTGTTTTTAATAAATTATCTTTATTCATAGGAGAACCTTGTGCATCACTGTAAAATCAAAAATACTAAGCAGCACAACTGGTTCAGCTTTCAGCTTTAACATCACAGGAATAAATTACATTTTCAAATATGATATCAAATAGAAAACAGTGATTTCAACTGTATAGTATTCACAGTATAACAGTTTTTACTGTATTTTTGATTAAATAAATGCAGTCTTGGTGAGCATAAGAGACTTATTTCAAAAACATCATTCTGACTCAAAGCATTTGAACGGTAGTGTATATTATTGGTCGTTGTTAATTCATAATTTGTCAATGTGTTAAAATCTTAAATGTTAATATGTAGCATATTAACATGAATAAATACTATAAAGTTTCATTTATCATTAGCTTAATGCATTAGCTAATATTAATGAATTTAATCTCTGTTCAAATTTCCCCCAATTTCTATTTATTGCTTCCTTCTCTCTTGTGGGATAGAAAGAACAAGAAACAGAGGCAGTGAGTGAGAAAGAGATGCGATTGGCTGAGGAATTTTGGCACTGTGTGAGTCTGTGTCCACCTGCAGATTCCTCTGTAAAGCTGTATAAAAGTAGGAGTGTAGCGGGTGAGAAGGGAGAGGGAGAGGGAGACAACTAATAAAACACAGACCTATTAAACAAAGTAATGAATATTAAAATGGGAGTGGAGAAAAAATGTTGGGAGCATTTTGCTATATTTTAAAATAGCTAACGGTAACACTTTATTTCGAGAGTCCACTTTAGACATTCTACTAACAGTAAGTAACTTTACAACTACATGTCAACTAGCAGTCATTAGAGTATTAGTAAACTGTCTGCTTAATATCTTCTACCACTTTATTTTGATGGGTCAACAACATACAACATACTGACTATCAGAAACTTTGCAAGTATATGTCAACTTATTCTACTAACCCTAAACCTACCCTAACAGTCTACTCTGAGAATTAGTAGACATGTAGTTGCTAATTAATTTGAATTAGTTGACATGTAGTTACAAAGTTACTTATAGTTAGTGGAATGTCTAAAGCGGACTATCGAAATAAAGCGTAAACTAGCTAACTTCTTTTGGTAGTTATTGGTCTGGATGAAAAATCCCCCTAATTGCCCCCTAATAGTTGACTTGTTAGGCTATGTAGGCAATTAAAGGCACATTATTATGATTTGAATTATTTATTAATAAATGTGTGATTAGTCGACTAATGCTTCAAATGAACGACTACTAGTCAACCAGAAAAATCTTTAGTCGAGAGCAGCCCTAATGGTAATGTATATGACAATCTTAATGTATTTAGTTTCGTCGGAATAGATCTACTATGATGCTGCTGCTGTTGGTTATTTTTGTTGTTGTAGATTATTGCTGCTGCTGCAAAGCAAGTACAGGAACTTGCTTCTGCCAATACATACACTGACACGGTTCTGTGAGTTTTTACGACACAAATAGCAAATATAATAACCTGTAGCAGATCTATACAAGTGGAACTGGGGAGGTGGAGGGTTTCAAAGGAACTCTGAAAGCATGCTGTGAAATGCTCTAGTTAATGCTAACCAACCATTTAAATGTAGAGCAGCAAGCTCATTGTCTGCGTATGCAACATAAACCAATCAGCTTATGCCAAGTAGTTTAAGGCTGTGAATATCATCAGTTTGCATTGATGACCCATCGACCCATCAGTCTGCGCCATCTAGAGTTTCATGACAGAAATTGGCGTTTAAGTCAGGTACACTTTTTAATTTAATTTAATTTTGTTTGTTTTTTTAAATTGTCTTTTTAAAAAACATTTTTTTTATGATGGTTGCTTGTCGGACTGTAAAACTGTAAAAGCCAAGGCAGACTGTGCAACATACAAACAGATTTACAAAGTACATCTTGACTGTTAATGGGCACTTAATAGCGATGTCAGAACATCACATGATTAACACAAGAAATGGAAATGGTGCTGCACAAACTGAAGTTCGTTTATTGCAATATTTCTTTGTTGTGGAAAACAAAAGGACATTTTGAGTGTCGTATGCTGTGCAAGAGTGAATTTGTGGACTACTCAAAGCACTGTCAATAGTATTGTCATAACAAAAAAATAAATAAAATGTTTGTGTATAATATAGATAAGATACAAAGTACAAATATTTGTGACTGAGCATCTCTCGAGTGCTCTGTGCTTATCAGCTTTTATTTAGATTGCTGTCATGGGAGTCACACTTCAGGACTGCAGAACTTTGTCAGAGATTTATCATGGAGGCAATTAATCAGTCGTTGGTGAGTATTACATCCTAAATGATTGCAGATTTTGCCTTATGACTAAATAAATGTTTTATGGTACACAAAATTTGTCTTAAAATGTGGCCAAAATCCTTTAGGGTTAGTACATTTTCCCACTCATTGGCATTTTGGAAACATAATGGATGGGTGCATGTCATATTTTATATTTTGAAATATACCCACCGACATGCAGCATTAAATTTGGATGCATTTTTAAGTTAATCCTGTGATGATTCATCCTCAAGACATTCAGTCTGAGAACAAACCCCTGGGATTGTTGGAATACATTGCAATTCTCCCAAGCCACAAACCACTCACATCATACTGGCTTTCCTCCTTGTCCTAAAAAAGACAAGCTTCACTCTTATTAACCGACTGCAGCTTGCTAAAGGATGATGTTGAGAATAATGGAATAGAGGTCTGTGTGTGCTGACCTTTCTGAGCTAAACTTGGCCAGCCGGTGTGAATGTGCTCCTAGGGTCTATTGTGTTCACAGCGGTTATCATTGTATTGCAGTTTCCTCTGTTCAAGAGAAAAAGAAAGGGAGAGAGAGAGAGCGCTAAAGCTGCTGTTGGATCTTAGACATGCTGAGGTTGTTCGAAATCTGGAAACATAATTGATATTAATGAGACTGTTTTAGATTCCTGAGGAAGACGGCAGGTTGATCGGGCAGGACAGGTACGCCCAGCTCCTGATTTGGGCCAGTATCTACTGTCCTATTTAAAACCACACCTATGTGTCAGTAAACTTAAAGAAAAACTAATTTTGATTAAAATGAAATTCATAGATTGAAGTTATAGTTATAGTTATAAAGAAATTAAATTAAATGGATTGTTTGTATCTGCTTTCTTGGTACTAAATGGCCATCCATCACCTTTCCTAGTGCAGGAGATTTAATGAAACCATGTCTTTCATGAGGTGTTTCTCCGAAAAAATTAAAATGAAGTGAATAGTTCAGATAATTTATGATGATATAAAGAGAACTCATAAAATTATGAATGCTTATGCAATTTAACAAATAAATTGTGACGTTGCTTTGGATTAAAGCATCTGCTAAATGAATAAATGTAAATGCATTATGTGTCATAAACTAACAGGGAAGCATTTATT